CATATACCAAGCATTCCAATAAGAGCTTATGGTTTCATAGCCTAAAATATTCTTCAATAAGTTTTGAGTTTCTGCTGAAATATCCTGGACTTTGTAAAAAAACATAATCTAACTGGGTTTATAGGAAAGCAGGATAAATACCAATTACCAATAGGAAACACACTTTGAAACATTATTCTTGCTTTAAAAACTGCTGAAACAAATAAGCAAACACCAAGACTGGAATAACTTGCAGGCAGTATAACCAACCCCCTTTAGGAGGAAAGGGAACAATGACATTTGTCTGCCCACTAGTTTTTAACATATCATTTGTGTCGAACAAACAAACCCACATGCCATGAAGTTAATTCTGACAGCAGCCCAATAGGACAGAGCAGAAGTGTTCCCTGGGTTTACAAGGGTACATATACAGCTTACAGAAGTGAGCTGCTTCATCTCCCTCGTATGGAGTGGCTGGTGTGTTCAAACAACCAACCATTTGATTAGCAGCCCAATGTAACTCACGGGGCTCCTTCAAAATCCATGCCTTAGTAAAAGGTAATGTATTACTAGAAAAATAAATCTGTCTACAAATTATTTTTTCCCTTTACTATTGGGAGATCTACTGCTTGGATTTTCTTCAAAATGAGCACTGCCTTCTTCCATTCTTCCAGTGTTAGGAGTTCCTCTGGATTCAGTGCTGATGGGAAACAGTAGTAACACAGTAACCTGCGTTCCCAGTAGGTATGAGATAGTGATAATAGATCCTGACTGAGCATTGTTTACAAGGAACCCTGATGATGCTCTAAGGGGCTAACCACAAGGCCAACAATGGCCGAGAGTCAGAATCAACTTGATGAAAGTGGGTTTGGTTTCAGTTGGAAGCGTTGTTTTCGGAGAAGGCAGAACACTGGAGCAGGACACTGGTCCATCACAGAACCGAAGGGAGACCTATAGGCAATCTTCCTGACCACAGAGCTGCTCACCTACCAGTCTTCTGATCCTTGATCATCACTGGAATTTATAAAGGTAGACACAGTATGCAATGGCTGCTATTCATCTTGATTGAAGCTGTAGTTCCTTAGGCCAGAATGCTTCTTATCCCATGCTAATTGCACTTTATAAGGAAACAGTGGTCACCCTGTGATCAGTAGAGTACCTGTGATCCAGTAGGACTCCAGGGGATAAATGGCTATTATGTCCAGGAAATAGTATGGCTAGAAGGTCCCATATCAGCATACTCCCAGATGCCCAAGTCATCAGCATTCCAATGTTGTTCATGGAAATCCAATGGTCGTTTGCTAGTTCAGTCCATGGAGAAAGGAATCAGGACACAAACATACAAATGACTGTGTGCACCCAGGTAGATGCCCACTGGAATCTCCAACTGAGCCATCTTACTGCTGATCTGAGAATTGTATTGGGACATATTTTGCTGATGAGGAAACGTAATTGCTCATTTTTTGAAGGTTCATTAACTCTTTCAGGGTCCATTAACTAAATTAGCTCCTCCGGGTCATGTGACGCTTTCTACCTTACATTGTGTCATTTACCCCCTCAAAAGCTCCACACTTACTCTGAGCACACACAGATTCTTTGCCTGCTCAGGGAGAGAGAATGTGCTCATTTGAATGTCAGCAAATGGCTATTTGGCTGCAACTCAGTGACTCCCTTTGCTTCCCTGTAAACCACCCAAGGATCTCTCAGGATTTGCTGGTACATAGCAGTCATCAGAGCCCCACCAACCAGTGGGTGGCTTAGTTCTTTGTCTAGAAATAGTATGATTTCCGGGGTGTTGGGCACAGTATTCTGCCCCCAAACATTTCTTCCTATTTTCATAATTCAACATTTTCTGATTCGCTTAAAAGGGGGGTCATGAAAGAGGAAAGAATAAAGCAATAGAGAAAAGAACTAGGAGGCAAAGGACATTTATATAACTCTAAATACAGGCATGTACACATGTAAATATATTTATATATGATGATGGGGAAATAGATCTATGTGCATATATTTATAGGTTTAGTATTAAGGCAGTAGATGGACATTGAGACTCCACTCAAGTACTTCCTCAATGCAAGAACACTTTGTTCTATTAAATTGGCATTCCAGGATGCATACCTTCCCAACATAATTGCTGAAGACAAAGCAGGTGCATAAGCAAATATAGTAAAGAAAGCTGATGGTGCCCAGCTATCAAAATCTATAACTCTTGGGTCTTAAAGGCTTGAAGGCAAACAAGCAGCCATCTAATTCAGAAGCAACAAAACCCACATGGAAGGAGCACACCAGCTTGTGTGACCATGAGGTGTTGAAGGGATCAGGTATCAGGCATAAAAGAACATAAAATGATATCATTGTGAATGAGGGGGGAAGTGTGGAGTGGAGACCCAAAGCCCTTCTGTAGGCAACTGGATATTCCCTTATAGAAGGGTTGCAGGGAGGAGATGAGCCAGTCAGGGTGCAGTGTAGCACCGATGAAACATACAACTTTCCTCTTGTTCTTAAATGCTTCCTCCCCATCACCATCATGATCCCAATTCTACATTAAAACTCTGGCTACACCAGAAGATGTACACTGGTACAGATAGGAACCAGAAACACAGGGAATCCAAGACAGATGATCCCTTCAGGACCTACGGTAGTGAGAGTGGCGATACCAGAGGGTAGAGGGAAGGTGTAGAAAGGGGGAACCGATTACAAGGAGTTACATATAACTCCCTACCTGGAGGATGGACAACAGAAAAGTGGGTGAAGGGAGACATTGGACAGTGTAAGATATGACAAAATAATAATTATAAATTATCAAGGGTTCATAAGGGAGAGGGGGAGGGGAGGGAGGAGAAAAATGAGGAACTGATACCAAGGGCTTAAGTAGAAAGCAAATGTTTTGAGAATATGTGGGCAACAAATGTACAAATGTACTTAACACACAATGGATGGATTGTGATAAGAGTTGTATGAGCCCCCAATAAAATGATTTTTTAAGGGGGGGGGCTCATGAAGCTATTTTAGGATTCTAGAGCCCCTCTGTTAAAACATAACCTCCACTACGAGGAAGAGTGAAAGCCTTAGTGCTCAGGACCCACTTTAGAGGAGTAACGACTACTATCTGAGAAAAGTCTATCTTGCTTTTTGGGGGGGAAAAATGCTTTGCGTGCCACCAAGACTGGCCGTCAATAAGCAAGTGCAGGAGCCCCATGAAAAGAATGAATGTTTCCGTCACTGACACCCATGATTCTGCCCCTGCTGGGAAGCAGTCGCCAGGGCTGGTTTGGGGATTCATAAATGTATGTACATGGGAACAGGTGAAGACTTTAAAGGGCACAGTGGACACACTCAGGGGTAGTAGAGCAGTGCTTTCCAAACTCTCGTGGGCACACAAGCCAGCTTGGACCTTGTTACAATACCAGTTCTCATTCAGCAGATCTGGAGTAGGACCATGGAGCCTATATTTCTAGTAAGCGCTCATGCTGATGCTGACGGTCTTCAAGTCACATTGTGAGTAGCAGGGATGTAACATGCAATGAGCAATATCATAGTCTTGGAGGAAAAAGATGATACATGTTAAAAAAAAAAGACACTATCATAAAATTTTATATTCAGACTAGAAAGACTTTAATTAAATGTTGAAAATCTCACCAGGAGATTTATAATGTTTTTAATGTTCCACACAAACATCAGCTTTTATGACCCTGACAGGTGAAGCACTAGATGGTGCCTGGTTACCAATACCAACTAATATGGAAGGCATCACATTAGAAAGTCCGAGAGACAATGGGAGAAAAATGTGGAGCAAAACTCAAATTCATAAAATGGCTGAGTTTACTTGTGGAAACCCCAGGACTCTGTCCCTTCATCACCCTTCAAGTTGGGACCTAAACTCACCCCCATGTATCCATGATCAGTCAAAAACATCAACAAGTCTTTAAGGGAAACAAAAACAGGGAGGTGGGCACTCCTGAAAGTCATCAACCGTGTGAGATCAAAAGGGTGCATTTTCCCAAGGACAGGGCTCAGAAGGATTCGGAAAGGAGGAGGAATGCAAACAGGAACCACAGAGAGGAAATAGGAGATGTGATAGTACACCGTGGAGACGGCCATCCATGGCGTGAAATAAAATATATGTAAATTAGTGGATGAAAACGGATTTATTTTATAAGCCTTCACCCAATTCCCTTTCAAATTAATCAATCAAATGAGGTAGCATCTAGGTAGGAAAAAAAGAAAAATAGGACCTACTCAACATTTCTCCGTATCTGAAGATTTTGGTAAATATCTCCCAACACTGATAGGTTCTTTAAAAATCTGGCTAGACCAGAGGATGTACACTGGTACAGATAGGAACTGGAAACACAGGGAATCCAGGACGGATGGTCCCTTCAGGACCAGTGGTGTGAGTGGTGATACTGGGAGGGTGGAGGGAGGGTGGGGTGGAAAGGGGGTTCCGATTACATGGATCTGTGTGTGACCTCCTCCCTGGGGGATGGACAACAGAAAAGTGGGTGAAGGGAGATGTCGAACTGGGCAAGATATGACAAAATAAAAATTTATAAATTATCAAGGGTTCATGACGGAGGGGGGAGCGGGGAAGGAGGGGAAATAATGAGGAGCTGATGCCAGGGGCTTGGGTGGAGAGCAAATGTTTTGAGAATGATGAGGGCAATGAATGTACAAATGTGCTTTACACAATGGATTGTGATAAGAGTTGTATGAGCCCCTAACAAAATGATTTAAAGAAAAAAAAAGCAGATTAAGCAAAAAAAAAAAAAAATTCAGATGGTGTGTCACTAGTTCATCACCCCCAGTACTTCATAAAGATACAAGGACTAATTGTCTTCCTAGTCTCCTGCATATCCTCAGGTTGGTAAAGAGGTCGATAAATGTCAGTGTCTGATTAAATATTCCTTTACAGAATTCATATCAGAGAGAGTTTAAGCTTCTCTCCCCATCTTGTGCTAATCTATCGTGGCAGCCTCTCTGTTCTTTGCTCTGAACTGAGCAAGGTCCTTTTATCTTGGTAGGTCAATGGGAAGGATCTTTCGATGGCCACTCACGAAGAGGCAGTGGAGGCGTTCCGAAACGCCAAAGAGCCCATCGTGGTTCAAGTGCTGAGGCGATCACCGCTCAGTAAACTGCCCTACGGCCCAGCCCCGGAGGTGCAGCTCCTCAACGCCAGCACTCAGACCGACATCACCTTTGAACACATCATGGCCCTGGCCAAGCTCAGGCCTCCCACCCCGCCGGTGCCCGATGTCTGCCCGTTCCTGCTCTCAGACAGGTACTGTTGTGTCATTTCTCCAGAAACCCTGTTTGTTTTCATTAGTCATTGCAAGCAGGTGTTTGGAAGCATGAGTCACACTAGCAAGTGGGCAAGGATAGAGCCAGGCCCCCAGTTCTGTGTGAAAAATGCCTCAGCCATGTCTACATCCAATTAGTTCTCAGCTGTCTGAGAAGTACACTCTCCCTGGCCCACGTGGGGGCTTCGCCTCAGCCATCATCCTTGTTGAGGGGTGCATTGAGAAATTTGGGTTCTGATGAGCTCATCTTTACCTATCCAGTCATCGGAAACCTCATGCTACTGGCGAGCACTGGTCAGTGGAATAGCTTTGTTCACCAAAGCTGCCAAAACACCTGATTAAGACTCACATGGAAGTAGCATGTTGACACCTTATTGTCCTCTGTGGGTCGCCTTGCTCACCCCCCTGGCTTTTCTCTTCTTTAAAGGAGAAACTGGGAATTAATTTAAAGTACAATTTCCCAAAGGAGGCAATGACCAAATGTACTGAGCTGTAGACGAAAGGTCCTGACTGCCAAAGGGCTGGGGTTGTGGTAGGAAGTAAAGTGCTAGTCATGGAGTTGTTCTTCCCGATGGTTTCCAAGTTCAAGTAATCAGTGAATTTATATTACAATAATTCTTGTCCAGCTGTGTACAGTCTTGGAAGTGAGTTTTGCCCTTGTAAATTTTGTCCTGGGCACTTTTCAGCCAAAATGTACACACGATAGAGCACGAGTCTGTATTTAAGTAGCAAAGCTGCGTTTTCATTGCTTATGCAATATTCTCCACTTTGTAAAACACGGGTGTTATCCTGTCACTTCCTTGCCCTTGAGTGGCTTTTGAAAGTCTATTTCCTTGGCTTACAAGTGTATACTAGAATCCACTGGAAACTTTAAAAAGTCAATACCAATGGTGGAACTCCACTTCAGGCTGATGCAATAGGAATTCTTAAGGTGGGGTCAAGGAGCTCTGGTGGCGCAGTGGTTCCATGTTCGGCTGCTAACCACAAGGTCAGCAGTTTGAACCAACCGCTCCTCCAGGCTAGAAAGATGCCGCTTTCTGCTCCCCTAGCATTTTTCAGCTTCGGAAACTCGCAGTTGCTGTTCGACTCTGTTCTATGAGTTCACTAGGAGTCAGGATTGACTCCCCGACAGCGAGTTGGGTTTTGAAGGTAGCACTGGATCCCCAGTGGCACTGTGGAGTAAGCAGTGGACTGCTAATTGGAGGGCGGGTGACTCAAACTCAGCTGCGGCTCAGTGGACCACAGATGAGGGTGTCTGCTCCCAGGCAGGTCCCACAAAAATTTACAGCTCCAGAAATCCAATGTGTGTCCCTGTGAGTCAGAATGGACTTGATGGCAGTGATTGGGGGGCGCGGGGGGCTGTGGGGTGGAGGATGGGGTAGTGTATCAGATTTTACCAGCATCTCTCTAGGTGATTCTAAGGAGCAGCCATGTTTTAGGAACTAATTTCTGAGGCAGCAAGTTCCAGAAGTTCCTGATTGCCTTGTTTGTCCCTCTGTTTATTTATGCCCGATCTGTTCGATCTGTCTTTGGGTCAGGGATAAAGGTAGAAACTAAGCGTGCCAATCCAGGATGCTGGGCCACTTCCTCTTCTAAGTCTCGTCCACCTCAGCTCAGAGACAACATCTGCAGAAAAATGCCAAAGTCCTACCCGTAGAAACCACTCTTATTTACTTGCATGGCTTTTGTGTTTTCCTTTTGACTGTTGTATTATATTACAAGTCTCACTCTGTCGCTTTATGTAATTGTTAAGGTGAGAAAGGTACATTGTGCACCACCTTATTTCCAGCACGGAGGCGTCATTGCAGCCGTTTGCTGCAGTCCAGGCAATTTCCATTCGCAGCGACCTCATGTAACGGAGTAGAGCTTCTTTGAGGCCTCCCTTGCTGTGATCTTTGAGGAAGCAGTTCTCCTGGGCTTTTCTGCTATGGAACCTCTGTGTAGTTTCTAACCACCACCCTTTTGGTTTCTAATCATGGCCACAGAGGTGGTGCCGAAAGAAGAGATTCGCAGCTTTGTGTGATAAGAAAGCCACTGGCTGCATTAGTTTGGGTCTGAAACTTTTTTTACAACGAATATTTGGGTTTATGGGTAAGACCATGTTTAAATCCACGTAAGAGATCTGTTTTATATTGTTCTCTTGGACCTCACTCAATATTTATTGGGTGATTAAAGTGTTCCTTGTGGCAGAACCCCCTTCACATGGAAAGGCGAAGGGAAAGGCAACAGAAACATAGGCTGATGCCCTCCAAAATTGAGCTTCAATGCTCGACCAGCTCGGATGGGCTTGACAATGAGTCTACATGTAAGCAAGGCCGGGTCATGAATTCTGTCAGCAAACAGGACGCTGCCTGCACTCCCCTGGCTGGTCTGGTCTGTGAGGAGGTGATAGCAATAGCTCATATGAAGGATGGCTGGCAGAGTATCTGTGCTGACTAGGCAAAGGCCTCCCTTAGACTAGCACCACCACCCCTGCACTTCAGGCTCTCAGAAGGGAACCCAGCTAGACTTCAACCCCCAATGTTTCAGTGATGTTCATGGAGGTCTCCAGCCTGCAGCCAACTCCATCTTAGAAATAGAGATGGCCTTGTGCCCCCTGTTGTTAATGTGGGACAAAAAGCTGAAAGGTGAACAGGTCAAACCTACCCAGGGGCTCATTGGAAGATACACCTGAAGATCTGCTTCTGAAAGGTCACAGCGTGGACCCCCGGGACATGCCTGTCCTGGTGTCAGAATCGACTCTCCTGTCACTAACAATGACAAAGCCTTCGTAGGATGTAAGGTCAATCTGGTGACACACAATAACTTGGAAGAGCTTTTCGATTACTTATAGCATTTCCCCAAAGGTAAGGGATATTTAAAGTCCATGTCTGATGCCCTGGGTCCCCCGCCTGTCCATTCCTTAGCAGCTCTCTCTTTCACTGGGAATTTCCCAGGGGGATTATCGAGGCTCCAGTAAGTTATTACCACAAAAACGCCCCGCTTACCCAAGAGAAGGAAGGTAGGTGATGAAGGAGAAGGAAGAGGGAGATTTTGAGGAATGGGGCCCAGGTGAACCCATTTTGACATTTGAAAACTATCGCTTATGAAAGCAGCTTTCCAAACCCGGTTGGGGGCTGTGTACTATGGAATTGGCAGTGCTCTGTTATAAAATACTCCCCGTGGGATAGACAGCCAGCTGGAAGTTCACGTGCTCATGTATAGAGCTAGTGACCTCGGGTAGAGTAGAGGCAGACCAGAGTATATCAGTACGGCCGCAGGCCTGAGGAAGGTCTCCCATCAGTCTCCTCATAGAATATAGCTCCGACCATGGGCCCGCACTCGCCACAGAAATGGGAAATGGATGGGCTCCCTGTCAAGGCAGAAAGAAAAGCCATTGCTCTTTCTGTGCTGCCATTCCTTTCCCGGCTCGTTCACTACAGGTCTTATTCCCAAGCAGAGGCAACTGGAGGCTAAATTCTAAACTTAGTTCTAATGTGGAGAACAACCCTTTTGATCTATCCCTATCATATTGCTACCTTCCCCACAGCTGCCATTCTCTTCATCCGATGGAGCCTGAGTTCTGTGAGGACAACGAGTACCTTTCCAGCTTGCCTGCTGAGGCAGACAGAACAGAGGACTTCGAATACGAGGTAAGATCATTTGCACACCACTTCACATGTCTTCATGAAGGCATGCTTGAGGGAGTTTGCTTAACAGAAAAATTAATTTAGGACTCGAAGAAATAGTCTGCCTATTATATACCTAGGGCAAGATGTTTTCAGTGCTATTTCTTTGAGCTGTCTGGCTTCAGCATTTTAAATGTATTAGAAAAATGTTTTCAGAAGGTAAGCTTGAAAAGAATTTCTCAGATTTGGGTTGCTTTTTATAAATAATATTATGGACACTGCATTTCCTTCCTTCTTTTTGTAATACAAGAGTATATCCAAATAGCATTTGGGAAAGAATTATATTTAAAACCAAGATGGTGCCAACTTTTTTCATTCATTGTATTTGAACTAGGAAATCACAATTGTGGGATGCATGTTATATTCACCTTCATAAATTCGGCATCATATTTATTTGTGACTCGGGATGTTTATATACTGAAGAATGGTTTCATTGATTTTCCAGAAACAGAGGTAGCCTCATGCCCAACGATGCTGAACTGTATTTAGTCTTCCTGTGATATAAAATTATGAGTATCTTCACTGTGAGATGGTACAGCTCACAAAATCCATTTATTAAGTATTTAAAAGCTTTCACAAAAGTTAAAGAATTTATCCTAATATTTTCTCTGCTTCTGCAGCCTATAAATCTTTGAAAGGTTTCAGACCCCTCTGACATTTGGAATAAACTAGATTGAGGAAGGAAAGCGGCTTTGGTAAACAGGCAGAGAACCCGTGATGATCTGCCCTTTTAATGCTTCCGATGATGTCATACACGTTCAGCAAAGGGTTCTTTCCCATTTCACAGCCAGAAATCCTGAAATCTCTTCCCTTAGGAGGATCTAAAATCAAATAAGGCTGATTCAGTGAAGCTTACCTAAAGCAAATAGATGTTTATTTGAAATCTTCCCCCTACAAAAGTCATTGCTGGGGATTACAGAAATTTCTCCTCAGCCAGCATTTGGAAGGATGTGTAATGTCACCTAATATCGGAGTCATTTGTTGTTGTTCTTCTTGTTGTTAATTTTTATCCCTAACTCTGTTGATTGAAACTTTGTTATTTTACAAATCCACTCAAATATTAGTATGGTCTGAAATATCCATGAAATTTTGACTAGTCGTACAAAATAAATTATAACATTCATATATATTTTTCTTTCAATTAGTAAATACTTTGTTGAGGGACTAGAATTATCTGGATCACTTCAGTTTTTCACTCAATTTATTTCTTAAAAACTTATCTAATGTAGGCTGTGTTCTAGGAGAGGGCACAGTGAGGTGACTTGGTGAGGCTCAGTAAGTAGGTTAACAATAGAAATCCTTTAATTCATCAGCATACCACTGGTTTATTACAACACAGACAGCTTTCCTTACAGTTCCGTAAGGCTTGCTGTAGATGAAGCATATCCTCTTTTGTAGCCCATATCAACCCCTAATAGATGCCAACACCAGTAGGATAACTGTAGTAAATGCTCAGACAGTTGCTCTGTCGCCTGTAATCTCAACTAATCACAGCATCAGAGTCATTAATTTTCTGTCATCTGTGATTCTGTTGCCTACGGCACCTTTCTGAGTGATTGAAATAAGGAATGCTCCTGTGAAGTGTAACTAGCAAAGGAGTTACCGTGGCAGGCTTCAGTCATGGGAGAGGATGCATTTCAGAGTGGCATACATGGTTCAAGGGGGAAGTGGAGGCATAGGGATGCTGGAAGGATAATTTTCCAAACGTAGGAGAGAATAATGATTCTGTTTCGTATGACTCAACTCTGTATCAGATCAACCTATCAAATCTAGTCAATCCAATTCATGTACCACAATAAGTTGTGGAAAACACGTTGCTTGGTGAGATTTAGAAATGTTAGTCATGTCTTTATGGCTCATATGGCACCTGGAAGCAAGTAATCAGGGTTTTATGATGAGCTCCTCAAGGGGCTTTGCCGTGACTCGAACCCGTGTGGATGAGGTCAATGAACACCTTCAGGAAAATTCCGTTTGCACCACTTAAAATATTCTCAAAAGCTGAAGTTTAATGGCCAAAGACAGGGCTTCATCTCAGAGAGGGACATTCTTTATTCCTTAAGTTCACCATGAACACACATCTTTTGATCTGCTTTTGTTTACTTCTACCATGGGTTTGTCTTAAACTCCTAAAATGTACTTGGCACTTTTCTACACCATGAATTGTTGCAACCTGGATTTCACAGAGCTGGATTTCTAGAGGAAGGAGATGTGCAGTACACAATTAAATTGGGATAGTATATTAGTTGAGGGTGAGTGTTATTGGAGAACAACAAACATTAGCAATGGAGAAAGTATACCTGATGTTGAAATGGGTATTGTTCTCTACCACAGTGTGGTCAGGGAGATCTTGTTCAGAAGAGGCCTAAAGAAAGTAAAAAGAGTTGGGCATGTGGATGGACAGCTGAGGAAGGAGGTTTCCAGATAGAGGAAACATCAAGTACAAAGAACTTGAAGTGGGAGCAGGCCTGTTGTGCTCTGGGCACGTGGAGGCTGGTGGGCAACGGCAGCATGGAGCAGGGGAAAGTGGTAGGAGAAGAAGTTACACTGAGAAGAAGGAACATCTCAAGGAGGCCTCGGAGATTTACTGGGAGTCGCAAAGTTGCTGAAGCAGAGGAGGGCTGTAGTTGATCATACATATATTTTTAATAACTTTATTTTCACATATTACACATATCTTGCAATTTAATCAACCATTCATATTAAGAGGAGTTATTCAATCATCATTACAATCAATTTCAGAGCACTTTCTTATACTCATCACTGTTGGCTCCCCATTTCCCCCCAAATCTCCCCTGACATGCCCTTCGTAATTTTTAATCCAGTTACTGTCTTCATAGATTCACCTATCCTGAATTTCCAATACAGAAAATCATCCAAAACACAAACAGGAAACAAACAAACAAAAAAATCAATAAGAATGACAAGACAAAACACAGGAGAACCTCAATGGACAAGAAAGCAGAAAATGTTAAAAACCAAGACTTTACCCATGCACAGCAGGGCGAAACTGGAAGGGAGTGCTACAAAGCAGCATGGGGAGCATCTTAACAAAGTCCCCGAGGGATCCAGGAAATAGACTTCCGACTCGGGAGACTGGGCTTGGCACTTCATCTGACCTAATTGGGAAAAAAAGTCTTAAGGGCCAGCAGACAGACTTGGAAATATTTATCATTGGTTGTTTTGTTTTGTTTTGTTTTCTATCTTTATAAGATAAGCAGGACAAACAATCCGAAGGAGAAAACAATGAACCGGCAGTTTGTGGGAGACATGGAGGAGTGGGAGCAGAGAGCCAACAAACCCAGGGATAAGGGAATAACAAGTGATCTAAAATTGATGGTGAGGAGGGGATATAATGCCTGGTGGGGTTTGATCAAGTGCGATGTATCTGAGAGGAATTACTGAGAGCAGGGTGGAGGGTGAGCATGATAGTGGGATAGGAGGAAGGTGAGAAAAAGTTGAGGAAGTAAGTAAGAGGCAAAAGCTACTTAACGAGGTATAGCTATAGGCAGCTACACATGTAAATACAGTAATTTATACTGAAGGGGATAGAGGTCAATGTACATATACTTATATGTTAAGTATTAAGATAGCAGATGTACTTGGGGCCTCTACTCAAGGTCTCCCTAAACACAAGAACACTTTGTTCTAATAATCTGACACTTTTGAAACTCACCTTCACAACACAATCTCTGAAAACAAAATGGGTGCATAAGCAAATGTGGTGAAGAAATAGGATGGTGACCAGCTATCAAAAGATATAGCATCTGGGGTCTTAAAGGTTTGAAGTTAAACAAGTGGCCATCTAGGAGGGAAACAAATAAGCCCACATGCCAGAAACACCAGCCTGTGTGATCGTGAGGTTTCGACAAGATCAGGTATCAGGTATCAAAAGATCCAAAACAAACAATTACATGGATGTGAAAGAGGGAGGTTGGAGTGGAGACCCAAAGGCCATATGTAGACAGTTGGACATCCCTGACACAGAAGGGTACAAGGAAGGGATGATTCAACCAGGGTGCAGTACAGCACTGATAAAACACACATCATTCCTCTGGTTCCTGAATGTATCCTCCTCCCACTACCATGACCCAGTTCTACCTTACAAATCCAGCTAGACTGGAGTACATACATTAGTACAGATAAGAGCTCTCGACGCATTGAATTCCGGACAGGTAAAACCTTCAGGAACAGTAGTGGGAGTAGTGCTATCATGAGGGTAGGGGGATGGGGGAGAGGAGGGGCGGGGAGGAAAGTGGGAACCCATCACAAGGTTGGATATATAGCCCCACACACACCCTGAGGGGAATGAATAACAATGAAGGCAGACAACAGACAGTGTAAGATATGAAATAACAATAATATATCATTAATCAAGGATTCATGAGGGTGGGGAAGGGAAAAAATGAAGGGCTGATACCAAGGGCTCAAGTAGGATTGTTACAAGATTTGTAAGAGCCCCCCAATAAAAAGATTAATTAAAAAAGAAAGAAAATACATAAAGCACAATAAAAAACTGTAAGAAATGGGAGGAAAACAACTTTAAAATGAGTTAAAAGGAAGATCTAATGATAAAATAGTACATGTTAACCTAACCACATCGACCATAATCGACTTCACAATTCTATCAGCAAGTCTGCTCACATCTCTGCACTACGGTCAGAGTGGATTCATTGGAAGCTGCAAATGGACATTGTACTTCCACTGTCCTCCATAGTCTCCTGCAAACCAGATGTTCAGAATTTAAGCTCTGATTCACAATCCTTGGATTACATGGACTGATATGCTTCTTCCATGTAGACTTAGTTAATGCCTCACTTGGGTACTGAAGTCAAGCCTTTAAGACCCCAAAGGCTATTCTTTTTGATAGCCTGTTACCACCTTGTTTCTTCACCGCACTTTGGTATAGCGCCCATATTTTTAGTGCCAATAGGGCCAGGTCACAAGAACTAATTGTTAATAGCTTA